GGGGGGGGGGGACGCACATAAACATTCAGTCTATAGAACCTGCAACCCAAGCTGTGACCAGCAGGCTTTGAAAGCAGAAGATGGTTTACCTATTCCTCAAACACAGGCATGGTGTCAAGCTAGAGAAAAATGTCCAAAATGGGCCATCAAAACCAGGAGCCGGAGGTGAGTTTTAGAAGTCGATACAAACTGGGGTTTGAAAATGAAAATGAGAAGTTGGTGGGCTGAGCAATGGGCTGTAGTATGTACCCATTTCATTGTTCAGACAATGGTGGTGTACACTGGGGTATACGTGTTGGCATGAATACGTTGAACCAATTAAAAGCCAGAACAGCACAGACCCCACCTCCACCCACAGCCATCATGAATTTCATCATAGACCTATGTTGAAGCCAAAATCATCCTTATGTAGGTCTAACACAACAACACAAGGTAGTTTGGCACAACACACAATAGGGATGCTCCATACACTGGGCAGCTAACCAAGACAGTGAAATCCTCCAGCTGGGGAAATGAAAGCGCTAAAGGAACTAGGTAAAGGTGGATGGCTGAGTGCAGAATGTCGTCCTGAGTAAGCTGTCTCCCTGGTTTTTTGCAAAACCCTCTGCATCTCCTTGTATGAGGAAAGTTCATTCATCTATTCATTCAATTAATAAAAACAGAAACTAAACACTTCCGTAGTGCTTACCCTACATCAGCCACTATTTAAGCACTTTACTCTTATTAACTCATTTAATCCCTGTCACAATCCTATTATCCTAGTTGATGGGTAAGGAAACAAAGGACACAGAGAAGTCAAGTGACTTTCCCAAGGTCACACAGATGGCAAATGTCAGAGTCATCATTTGAATCCAAGTTGTCTGGTTCTAGAATCTTGACTGTGGTTTGAGGCGCCTACCAAATGCTCAAGTTAAGATGCCACTGCTGTCAGGAGACAAGGTGGAGAATCAGGGGGGAGTGATGGAGAGCAGTTGTCCGTTTTATCTTCCCCAGACTGACTTGCTTCTGCTGATGGAGGAATTACCCATGTGAGTCTCAGTGGGAAACAAAATTTTTCTTCCCCCACAGAAACAGGAAGTTCAGACATGACCCATTTTCCCAGCTTCCCTCGCAGCTAGCGCATAGCCACGTGGCACGGGTTCAGCCAACTAGATGCAGACAGCTTGGCGCCTGGGAAGTAAGGAGACAAAGAAGCAGGTACTATGGAGAACTGGGTCAGTTGCTGCTGCAATAGCAGTGACATTCCCCGGGACAGCAGACACAGCTGAGAGTTCTGCAGTAGTAGCCATGGGGTCCTCAAGGGCTACCACATTTCTTTGTCGTTTTTGGCTGTGATTCTGATGGTGAGATCATCTTTTCTATTTCTTGCACTAAAAATCCTGAGTGATGGGAGAGAGTGAGGCTTAGATATAGTGCTAAGGAAAGATCCCTTGAAGATGGTGATATTTAAGTTGGATTCTGAAGATTGAAAATGAGTCGGCATGGGAAGAACATAGAAAGGAGTATGCCACACAGAGGGAAAGCAAATCCAAAGCTTTGAAGTGGGAAAGAGCTTAGAGTGTCCAAAGAGCTGGACAAAGGCCCGTGTTGCGGGAAGGCAAGAAGTAACCATAAAAATCCTACAAGAAAACATAGGCAGCAAAATATCAGACATCTCACAAAGCAGAATTTTCACTGATACACCACCTAGGGCAAGAGAAACAAAGGAAAAAATAAACAAATGGGACTACATAAAAATAAAAGGCTTCTGCACAGCAAAAGAAACCAGCATCAAAATGAAAAGGGAACCCACTGTGTGGGAGAACATATTTGCCAATGATACATCTGATAAGCGGTTAATTTCCAAAATATGTAAAATATACAGCTCAACAAAAGGAAGACAAACCAATTTAAAAATGGGCAGAAGGTACCCAGCTGGGCGTGGCTCAGCGGTTGAGCATCAACCTAGGATCCAGGAGATTGCAGTTCGATTCCCGATCAGGGCACATGCCTGGGTTGCGGGCTTGGGGGGATGCAGGAGGCAGCCCATCAATGACTCTCTCATCATTGATGTTTCTATCTCTCTCTCTCCCTTCCTCTCTCTGAAATCAATAAAGATATGTTTTAAAAAATAAAATAAAAATAAAAATGGGCAGAAGACAGGAATAGACGCTTCTCCAAAGAGGACATACAAATGGCCAAGAGACATATGAAAAAATGCTCAATGTTACTAATCATCAGAGAGATGCAAATTAAAACCACAATGAGGTATCACTTCACACCTGTCAGAAGGGACAGCATCAATAAATCAACAAACAAGTGCTGGCGGGGGTGTGGAGAAAGGGGAGCCCTAGTACACTGTGGTGGGAATGCAGACTGTGCAGCCACTATGGAAAACAGTATGGAGGTTCCTCAAAAAATTAAAAATGGAACTGCCATTTGACCCAGTGATCCCAATTCTAGGAGTATACCCTAAAAAGCCTGAAACACCAATCAGAAAGTATATATGCACACCTATGTTCATAGCAGCGTTATTTACAATAGCTAAGATGTGCAAACAGCCCAAGCGCCCATCAGCAGACGAATGGATAAAAAAGCTGTGAGACATTTACACCATGGAATACTATGCAGCTGTATAAAGGAAGGATTCTTACCCTTTGAGACAGAATGGAGGGACCTGGAGAGTATTATGTTAAGTGAAATAAGCTAGAGAAAGACAAATATCACATGATCTCACTTTTATGTGGAATCTAATTAACAAAATAAACTGAACCCCCCCCNCTGGGGAGAGGGCAGGAGCGGGTAGGAGGAGGTAATGGGGGGGGGGTCTGTAACACTTTCAACAACAAATGTAATTTTAAAAATTAAATTTAGCCTGACAGGGCATAGCTCAGCGGTTGGGCATCGACCTAGGATCCAGGCAATCGAGGTTCGATTCCCGGTCAGGGCACATGCCTGGGTTGTGGGCTAGGCAGCCAATCAATGACTCTCTCATCATTGATGTTTCTGTCTCTCTCCCTCCCTCTCCTTTCCTCTCTCTGAAATCAATATATATATATATTTTTTTAATTTTAATTTTATTTTATTATTATTATTTTTTAAATAGACCTTTATTGATTTTAGAGAGAGGAAAGGAGAGGGAGGGAGAGAGACAGAAACATCAATGATGAGAGTCATTGATCGAGCCTGCAACCCGGGCATGTGCCCTGACCGGGAATCGAACCTCGATTGCCTGGATCCCAGGTCGACGCTCAACCGCTGAGCCACGCCCGGCCGGGCTCAATATATATATGTTTTTTAAATTAAATTTAAAAATGAAGTAACAGAGAGGCGGGTTAAATGAGGTCATCTTTCTTAAGGAGCCAAGATTCCAAGCCAGTTCGGCGGAGCTCCAAAGACTCCGTCTAACACCTCCCTGCCTCCTTTCCCCTCCCCACCTCTGGAACTCCTGCTCTCTCGTCACTGTGGTCATTGTGATGAGCACTGTTTCACCCACTCTTCACGCCAGGAAGGAAGTGAGTGTGGTTGGGTGTCCCTCTCCTCGTGGAGGACTCGGTCCAGGCGAGGGCACCAGGCCGGGACCATGCCAGCGCTGATACCCCTGCTTGAGAATAGCCAGAACACGCGCGTAGGGGCCCCAGCATGGCTCGAGGAGGCCCAGGCCCAGATGCTGAAGGCACAGCAGCTGACCGACCGCTGCGGGCGGGAGGCGGTGACCATGTGGCAACCCAAGGACAGCGTCTGGGACCCGCACGTGGCGCACCACCTCTGCCGGGCCGCCTATATCCTGCCCTGGCGCTTCCGCGTGGAGATGGTGAAAGGCGGCGGCACCTTGGAGAGACCGCCGCCGGGCGAGGGCGTCACGCTGTGGAAGAGCAAGATGAAGCCGCCCGCCTGGGG